TGGGAGGTAACACATGACGAAGGTGACTTAGGCGGATTAACATGCCTATACATCGGCCTACGACGCTGTCAATATGACTGCTCCAGGTGAAACAACTGTCTATTGTCACGCCTAGACTCACCAATGTACTTTTGACGGGTATCACAACATCAAAGATAGTAATGCTCCGCAAGTTGATTCGCCTCAAAATAGTTTTAGAGCCAAAAACAGCTACTTGTGATTTACTGACATTGATCGTCAGGCGATTTCGAGAGAACCATACACGAAGCCTGTTCAGCAATGTTTGAAGACGATTTATAATGTCATCAATGTCTTGAGGTTTACCTGAAACAATTATCTGAGTATCATCTGCGTATTGGACTAGGGAGCCCAAGTTATTGGCAACAGAAGTCATATCATTGACAAACAAATTGAACAACGTTGGGCCCAAGACACTGCCTTGCGGAACACCTGATGAGACCTTGCCTCTAAAATCATCACAGCCTCGAACATACTGACATCTCTCAGCAAGGTAGCTCTCAAACCAGGGGTGTTCAATTCCGTAATGAGAAAGTTTTTGAAGCAATATACTGTGATCAACAGAATCAAAGGCTCTGCTCAGATCTAATGACACCAAGATACATATTTTGCCGCTATCGATGGTGGACCGAATTGACTCTGTCAACGCAATGAGAGCATGGTTTACGGAATGACCAGGTCGGAATCCAAACTGCTCGTCCGATAACAGACAACAGTCTTCTAAATATGTCTTAAGCTGAAGTGAAACAACTCTTTCAAGAATCTTAGACACAACGTTTAACAGAGAAATCGGTCTGTAATTAGTCGCATCCATCCCTATATCAAAATATAGAAAAAAAATCTTTTGTTATAAAAAGGTTTTATTTTCTTTGCTGATTATTTTGAACATAAAAAATCATAAATCGTTGCAAAAAAAAATAATTTCGTGAAAGTGAACTATTTCCTTTAATATTTATTGAATGGTTGTGATATTCAGCACTTGATTGGTACGGCAGATCAAACGATAAAGACATGTTATTAACAAGAAATATTTATTACCTACCTCATTTATTTTGAACTTCTTAATCACTTCAAGTCCTTGTTTTTAGGAATTAATTGTCCTGCCCATACCATCTAAAAACCTAGGAATGCAGTAAAGTACCTATAAATAGAAATTAGAATCATCAAACAAACATTGTAATCAATGTTTTATTAATTCATTGCATTATCCAGAGATAGCATGAATCACTACTACGTTGTCTATTCATTGCCTAATATCCATCTCCGAACTGACAAAACACATCTTGAGTGAATGGTATAAGGCATGGTCTGCCTGGTGTCAGTCAGATGAATCTGAGCTCTCCTCTCCCGCTGTCACGGGAAGCTGCAATCGATGAATGAATGCCAAAGGATGACGTTATGACGGATAATGTGCCGGGAGCCACCACTGTCAGTTGTGCAATCATATTGTAAATACAGGCACAACCTACCACTGCAGCCGATACAACTTCTCGATGAGCTCGGCTCGAGCAGCTGCAGTGCAAAAGTTGGGTACGATCGTAAATCAATGAAAGGTGAAAGGTCGACCAGGGTCGGTCGGGGTGCATATATATGCTGTCGACCGGAGGGGGTTCAGAGACTGACGAGAGCAGTCTGACCCCTCCATCACGGACCGACCAAAGCTTCCTCCTAACAAGATGCATGAGACGTTAGCACAGGCAAACAACTGTGCAACTGGTCCGAATGGCAATGGCGTTGACCTTTGGAGCTGAGATCCTGTTTTCCTATGCTGAGAACGCGCACATGTCAGTCATGAGAAACCTGCAGAGTTCTCGTTGAGTGCTGCACTTGACTCGTGCTCGGCCTCACGTCGTTAGGCTTATGCAAAATATATGGAGGGCATGCAAAATTCATACTGCTCGCCGGACTTGAAAGCACCGTTTTAGCGTTGTTCATCTCATCCCGAGCGCCGGATCCTGAGACGCGGTCTGTGGGTGTGGGGGTGGAGGTGGGCGCCTACCACAGAGTGCAACGTCCGACTCGATGAAACCCCGATCAGGCTACCATCAGGTTATCAATCTTTAGTTTTTTGCTATGCCAAATTTCAGCGTGTCTGTAAATACAAAGTTCTCTCTCTCTCTCTCTCTCTCTCTCTCTCTCTCTCTCTCTCTCTCTCTCTCTCTCTCTCTCTCTCTCTCTCTCTCTCTCTCTCTCTCTCTCTCTCTCTCTCTCTCTCTCTCTCTCTCTCTCTCTCTCTCTCTCTCTCTCTCTCTCTCTCTCTCTCTCTCTCTCTCTCTCTCTCTCTCTCTCTCTCTCTCTCTCTCTCTCTCTCTCTCTCTCTCTCTCTCTCTCTCTCTCTCTCTCTCTCTCTCTCTCTCTCTCTCTCTCTCTCTCTCTCTCTCTCTCTCTCTCTCTCAGAGAGGATTATGAGGAAAGAGAGGATTATGAGGAGGATCTCTCTCTCTCTCTCTCTCAGAGAGGATTATGAGGAAAGAGAGAGAGAGAGAAAGAGAGAGAGAGAGAGAGAGAGAGAGAGAGAGAGAGAGAGAGAGAGAGAGAGGTGGACAAGAAAGGCACAAGACTCTGGACACGCTGTGACAGATCGGAAGCCGTAGCAAATACGGGCGTAAGGAGCCGGAAGGGGCGAACATGATGGAGGATGTATCCGCTGACCCGGCCCGCTGATTGACCGACGCGAAGGACGCCCGATGCCGGCGGGTATTGCCGATCCGTCCGCCCGCCGCCGCCACCGCCAAACTTCTCCGCGCCTCAAGTGGCTCTGCGGCTCGAGAATGTTCTGTCCGGGATTGACTGGCGCTGCCATTGAGTCAGTCAGTTGAACTCTGGCCAGTAACTTGTCTACAAGATGCACGCTGCCAGCGCTGTTCACGGGATTGAGTCTGCTGAAAGGTACCTAACTTGCGGAATATCCATGCAAGCACCCGCTCTCGAAGTAGGCTACTGACAAGTTCCTGACGAGATGTCAGACTGTGGTAAGTGCGAAGATGGGTTTTATTCATTGCAAAGTATTATGATTGCAAACGTTTGACCAACAGATGAATGCGAAGTGAAGATGGAGATGGAGAAAAGATGGAGATGGAGATGGAGATGAAGATGGAGAAAAGAATATAAAACGAGAATGAAAGACATAACAATCGAATTGCACTAGCTACAATTTACGGTTAAACAAATTAACGTTATAAAAAGGTACGTATAACTTTACGTTTGTAATAGATGTGCCAGTGCTTGTGACCGAAGCTGTAATGATATTATCCCAGGCTGTAAGCGATCGACAAGTCAGTGAACGGTCATATAGGAATTTTTCCGCACTTTGGTCGAAACTTCAATTCATCTTACCTGCATGTCTTTGCAGAGATTTTATCGCAAATGCCAAAAGGAATTTAAATGATTTCCTTAACATCCGTGTGCTGTGTAATGTGCGACATCAAAAGGGTCACCAAGCCTGCCGACGAAAACGCCAAGCCTGCCGATGAAAACACCAAGCTTGTCGATGATAGCACATCAGACAAGAGGCATCCGCGATTTCCTTTGTTGACCATGACGTGCACACATACGAGAACACTATGATGCGCTGAGCATACGGACAGCTGCTGACCCAGCCGCTGACGCTGATGGAAGCCGCCGCCGATCAGCACCGCTCTGACCATCTCAGCGCGGCGACGGCGCGCTGATAATGACCCCGTGCGCTGCTGTCACGGCCGCTCGCGACGACACAAACACAAACGAAATGGCTCGGAAGAATGGGTCTCGAATCGATGGAAGGGTGCTCGAGGCTGCGGCGACGACGGTCGCTGCCGCTCCGGCGAGGAGAGGGGCTCGTCGCGCACGCCGCCGTGTACGTCGTTCGTTGATGCGTAGGCGTACATCGTTAGCCGCCAGCGAATTCCGCCGAGCGGCGCCGCAGTCATCATTCGTTTCCTGGGCTGCCGAGCGATCGACTGCGGTTGCCAAATCCGGCCGGTGGTCCTGCTGGGTCCGGTGTGTACGATGACAGTTTACAAATGGTCACTGTCCGGCGGCGAGGAAGCCGGACGGACGGCCGACGCCGCTGTCCCGGCCCAGGAGACGGCTGATGACATTCGGAGCCGGCGCAGCTGCTCCGCAGATTCGCCGCAATCACCCCAGTCTTATGTGATCGCATACCAATAAAGTAGTCTACCAATATAGTAGGAAAGAAACACTGAACACATCAGCAGCAGGCACAAGTGATGAATGAAAACATATGATCTTATGCTAGCGGAATCTGCATTTTGGAATCTGTATAAGCACACTTCTTTTGAGAGCAGGACCCTAATAATTTCTTCAGACAATGCTCAAAGCTACCATACATGTGTTTGTTGGTCTAAGCCTCTTAGTGAATGTAGATCGGGCTGCATACAGCCTTTGCTGTTGTGCTGTTGTCTAAGTGCTGCTGCTCACGACCCTCACTGCATGACAATCATTTGCATTTGATTAGGAGTGCTCATTAAGCCTCTGCTTCAAATCTGCCCGTTGCCGTCGAACAATATTCCAGCCGGAGTTGTATCAGTTATACATATTGGCATTAGACAGGGTCAAGCCTGGCCACTGGCGTTGGAGGCTTAGAATAGATTTAATGACGTCAAAGGAGCACACACCGTGACCGCCAAGGGGTAATTTAATCGAACTGGATTAAGCGGACGTGATTACTTCCTGACTTAGATGCTTATCTAAGGGATTGTAGTAGGTAAAACGTGTTTGAAATTTTGGCTTTTGTTTGACGATGCAGGATAATGCTCCGAGAAATTATTAAGAACTATTTCATATTTTGACACACGATTTTTATAAGGTAATGTGAAATTTATTGCTAAATTGGCACTTGCATGTTAGGCACTACGGCCCCCGAGGTTTATGATGAAAAGATGTATAGTGAGGTGCTTATCTTCAGCAACAATGCTTCCGTTAGATTGGCAGAAATGTCGTTTGATGTGCTACTAACCATTTCTTTTCGTTGCATGCTGCAGTCACGAAAAAGGAAATACAACACTGGTAAGTGAGCATTGCAATGCGTAATGCAATTTGCGCAATGTAATCGCTCGCCTCAATAACAATGCCTGTGATTCCCACAGTCATAGATAGCATGAAGCATGTTATCTATGCCATCAGTCATAATCATTCACGCGTTTTTCAGACCAGCAGTAAAACTGAGCCCGCCCCTAAAAGTCCTTAGACGTTTGGACAGGTTATTGCATTCGAGTAAGAGTTGTGAGTCTCGATTCTGGAATATATTGCTGAAGAAGATTTATGTAACACTGCACGTTTGTTTACACTCTCGCTCGCATTCACTTTTCAAGGAAAAAACCTATGTACGGCCTTGCATCACTCTCTTTTTTATTTGATACAAACTGCAAGATATAGAGCTGTCAGGAAATACACGCATCAAGCTAACCAAAATTAATGTAACAAATTAATTACGTCAGCTCATTTTGCATTGTTTGTCAGCGATCCCGCACCTGTTGATGTGTGCCGATGTGTCCGGACCACCGCTACGCGCTGCTCATTTAGAGGAGCCCTGGACGAGCGAGCGGAGACGCGACTAACGAGAGTGCTTTGTTCCGCAGGCACAAAGGGTTCATCAAGGACTACCCTAATGGCGAACTAGATGAACAGGTAAGTGTGTCGCTTAATAACCGGGGACTAAATATTGCGGTATTTCACTGGCTCGGGAAAACACGCGGCAGATCGGGAGGCGTTGGATGCCATAGGTTTGCGTGTCTATATCAAAGATCAAAGATGCACACGATCTGTCCCACGAGTTCAACTGGCCGCGGATGCTCCCACGAACCGTGGACCATTATCATCAGGAGTCTCTTATTATTGTCACTGGCAGAATATCATCTGATGTAAGATAACATTTCACCGAAGCCGGGCGTTGTCCGAACTGCAGTTCCCGTCTGGCGGGTGTCCAGGTTTGATCGAATCGACTTAATAGTCGTCGCACTCCGTGACTGAATGATGTCGAAACTCCTTCACTTATGGAAATGGGGTGGCGGCGTTCGTTATGGCCATCGACCGTGCAATTTGGACGGCTGTGGAGCCGAGAGTTCCCATTTCCCGGTGGGGCGGACGGCCTAACTGTTGTGACACTCGGCAGTGCTGCGGCCTCCCGACCGGCGCGGCGGTCAGCGGAGAGGAGACAGGCTCTCTGATGGCCTCTATTACGGACTAATGTCGATTACAGCGTTGTCGAAGAGTTGCAATGAAACCAGTCAAACCTCCGCTCTGATCAGTGCCTGGGTCGGACATATCACTGTTAATGCCATCAATTGGATGATAAATCTGTATTGCTTGTCCTCTGTAAAATGTTTTGTCTTTTTTGTAGTGTCGTCTAGCATCAGCTTCCCGTTTGTGGATAACTTTTCCAGAGGCTGAGATGGACAGAACCACCCATTAAAATGACATGTTTGCGTGCACACTCACAGGGAGACATGTGATAATGTAAGTTGCATTTTGATTACCGAAGCGTTGATTTTTTATCCGAATCACGTCATGATAGTGCCACAAGCTTTTTAAATTTTGACCAAATGTAACATTTGTTGTGTTTGTGTGCTCAGAGATAATCTACAGCCAGGGCCAGGCCAGCATTATTGATAAGTCCCATGTAGCTTAAAGTTATACATTAGTGACGGGACTTGTCGGTCAAACGACGCGTTTGTGTGTTACCGTGTCTGTGATAACGAACGGCACCTACACATTCCCCCGAGTCATTTCATTTTGCCCGGGGAACACAAACACGGCGCTGATCACCGGTCATCTCCAACTCGACAGCGTCAAATCACCTCGAGCCTGGCTCTCACCACTGATCAGCGCGGCAGAGCTGAGCCAGCGGGAGCACAGTCACCGTCTAACTTATTTGTTTTCTACCCTACACCAGGGACGACCCGGTTAGGCCGCGCCGGTTCGCCGCGCCCCGAGGTATGCAGCCGCGCGTTCTCGTGGGTCCGCTCGTTAGGCGAGCAAACTTGTGTTAATGGCCTGGCCGGGCGAGGGCGGCGCTGCCGGCAGGACGCGCACGATACTACGGGGAGCCACGCACGCCCGCGCCGGCCGCGGCGGTCGTCAACTACCCGGGCCCGCCCCCCGCAACAGCCGAGCGGAGCGCCCGGCCGGTGGCTACGGGCGTCAGGCAGTAGGCACGCACACGGCACGGTCGGGGAACACACGGCCGGTACTGGTGGAACTCCGGTACACAGCCCCGGCCATGATTGATTTGTGTGGAGATTCTGGTGGCTTATTTGGGTCTGATATGCTTTCAAACCATCTGACTAATAAGTGTTTTATTTTCACTTGGGCTAAGGTATATAAAAGCACATCCAACGGCCAACATCATTATAGAAACAAAGCTGATGAATCTTTCTTTCTCCCGTGCAGGGTTTTATCAAGATTTATAAGCAGTTCTTCCCTCACGGCGACCCGACTAAGTTCGCCTCGCTGGTGTTCCGAGTGTTCGACGTGAATAAGGTGAGAGCAGGCCGCGGGGAGTGGGGGGGGGGGGAGGGTGGGAGGTGGTTGCCGGTTACCTGCCCCGGGCGAGGTCCCACCGCCCAGTCCAGTCGGCGGCCGTGCCCGTCTGACGTGTGGAGTGGAGCGCAATCAGCGCCTCGGGCTCTCAGACACCAATCAGCACCGCTGAGCGAGGCGATGACTCAGGAGGCGGGGTGGGCTGTGAACGGGAGGATTAGAAGAAAATTGTCGACAAATGTGAATTAGGATTATAAGTGATTGTTAACTCAAAACGGTCAATGAAAATTAATCAGCTCTCCTTTTTTTAATATTGTTGCTGCGTTTCGTATATCTATTTCATTCCGAAAACGCAGAAAGTGAGAGTGTGAGGGAGCGAGAAAGGAAGAATAGATTAGGGAAGGTTGTGACCTTATTGTTTCTTGATAATTTAATGCTAACGGGCTATCACTGAAAGATGACGAAAAATTGCGCGTCGGTGGGAGACTCAAGGATCCTATCCCTGCTTTAGAGATCATACTTCTGACTGCAGATGTCTACCATCCGCAGACCGAATCCCCGTCAAGAGTTTCACGTTTACATATATCAAATAAGGAAGCGGACTCGAATCCGGACTTTCACCAGCGGGAGACATACGCTCTACACATTCTATACGAGATGCGGAACAGTTATTTCCGGATATTTTTACTTTTTCTCTTATCTTTTCCTTGCTTTGTATCGCTAATGGTAATTGTATGTCGGTAATTGTGCTTTGTGTCGGTAATTGTAAAAGTCTTAAGTTGTGTACTAACTAAAGAGAAGGCTTGAAATGAAATTTTAAATCCAATTAAAACTGGTTTTAAAGCGCTTAGTGCTCTCGCTTACGTTTAATTACTTATACATGTTTGAATTATCCGCCGATACGACATTCACCGGGCATATTTTAGTTTATTTGATTTGAACCGTCATTTGATTACCCAGAGTAGCGATAAAGAACTTTAATATAACTAGTTTAAAGTAAAATTCATTGTCGACATAGCTCCCCTAGAGGTTCTCCAGCCTTCAATCCTCTACCGCAATGCGGCAGTGGTTGGTGTTTTATGTTTGGCCGCGCTATCGTCACAGACAGTTTCAAAGCACGTCCCTTGACTGCTCACATACGAGACGCTCTGTCTTCGAGTCGTTAGCTCTCGGAGGGAAACGGCGGCCAGCATTAGGGAAATTACTTCCGTCTGCGAGAGCGACGCCCGTCTTATCTGGCCCTAAACCTGTCAGCGCTGCCACTGCTGCGGCGCGGCCGGCACCGCTGGCGGCCGGCTCCGGGCCACCCCGAAATGCCCGGCTGGAGACTGACCGGACAGCCCGGAGAGACCGCCGTCCGAGCGCAGAGTGGCGTGCCTCACAGCCATCATGGGGACATCCACTCCGCGGCGGCGACATCTGACTTGCAGATTCGACCGATCGTTTCTGGTCACAGCTTTACTCTGTCGGCTCTAGTGGCCGATGGTGGGTGGCAAACGACGACCGTCTGGCCATTCCGGTGATCGGTGGGGGAGGGGCGGGGAGAGGGTGGGTGTCTGTCGCGTGTTGGACCGTTCCATGCCACTATCGGTAGGCGTGGCTTTCGCCCGACCTCGCAGCGCCGATCGCGCCAGGGCAACGGTAAACGAGGCGGCACGACAGCTACCAATTATGGAACGCGGTCAGCTCGTTTTCGGACTCTAATTACGGGACGGGACGGTCGGTGTCCTGCAGAGCCGTGACCGCCGCTGTTCAGTGAGCGTGGTACACCAGCCGCAGAACTGTTAATCCATCACTGGACCATTTGGCGCCGACGTCTGAGACCAACTGTTGTAACCACCGCGCATTGGATGTGAAATTGGATGGGGTTGTTGAGTGCGAGCCGGCTCTTGTGCGACGTCTTATTTGCGATATAAGTCAAATGCAACAATGAACAAATGTTTGGTGGATAACACCCATTTTTGTGTCCATGACAGCTAAAAGCCGCTGAGACGCTTATAACATGACGTAGTTTCTGGCAATAATCACATTTTAGCAAAACACAAAACGCTGATGACTAATGCATGGCAGATGAAAAAGGGGAAAATATAACGCCAAAGAAAACAAAAAGAGGCCTGATGTGATGCAACAGTCATGTGCTTCATGGCACAGGTTCTTGTAATTGTGGTATTGGTATGTCATATGTGTTGCTAAGAAGGCAGAAGCTGGAACTCAGGCCAGCCCTCGTATGTATGTGTGACGCGGGGCTAAAGTCAATGGAGCATAGGCTGTACCGCAATGCGCTGCGGTGCTGCGGCACAGCCTACCACCGCAGTCAATTCTGGCAGGCGGCTGGGCTGTGCCACTGCAGCCAAGATTACGCAGCTAGACAGTGCTACGACGACCATCAAAGACAGCACTCACTACAAGTTACAACGGCCAACGTCCTCTGATAAAATACAACCTTAACCCGCGCCCCACTGGGGGGGGGGGGCTATTTATAGCCCCCCCTCCCGTTTTTCTGCAATAACTTCCAAACCGCTTGACGGATCGACGCCAAACTTACAGTACCTTTGGCTGCATCAATTTGACACCTTGTGTCAAAATTTGAACTTCGCAGCTACCATAGGTCGGCCGGAAATGACGTCAGAGTGACGTCATGTTCGGCCGATTTCGACGCAAAACATTGAACCACGGCAATCGCTCCCAAGAGCTCAGTTTTTAAGCTAGATCCAATTTCTTTGCATGAAAGGACTCAGAATTGACCGCGCTATCAAACTGCTATCTCGAATTTTCAAAATTTTGAAAATTTCGAAAATTTGATATAATAATATTCAAAATATGTATTTTTATATTTTTTTCAAAAACTTTTTGACTTTTCGAAAAAACCGGAATATATGTGACAGAACGTTTGATTATAACTAACTCTAGCAAGTTTTAGCTAAATATCTTCAAAAATGGCCAAGTTATACGCATTATTGCAAAAAATTCACAATTATTAATTTTTCAAATCAATTTTTCAGTATGTATTTGACATCGTACACCAATATAAATGGCACCATCGTGTTCCTGAGCTCAAACCGCATCCAATAGACACCTTTTTTGTTGAAAAATTTAAACTTCAAAATTTGACCTTTTTTGACCTGAAAGTGACCTGACCTAAGCTAAATTCGACTCAAAATGACCTCGAATGACACAGACGACATCAAATTCGAAATCTATGGCCTAAATGGACCATAAAACATGTGTCACGTGACCGACGCATGATAAAATATTTTCGTGACCTTTGATGACCTGACCTTGACCTGAAAATCAAAGTAAAAGCTTGGTACCCTCAGGGTATTTAGAGCATCTGTTTAAGAGTGTGTGTCCCAAAAATGAGCCTGATCTGACTTGTAAGACGGCGGCCAGAGCCCAAAAGGTGAACAAGCCAAAATGCTAATAATTTTTACTTTGACCTGACCTGTGACGTCATCGGTGACCTCGAGGTCAATGAAATTAGGTTTCGCTCGACAGTTTTTCCGGGGCTATCAGACGCCGTTTGAATTTTGACGATCGGCCCAGTAGTTTCGGAGTTAGGAGGGGGGGGGCTATGAATAGCCCCCCCCCCCCCCCAGTAGGGCGTGTTATACACAGACCCCAGTGGGGCGCGGGTTAAAATGTCAGACAGCTGTGTCCAAAGGGACCCTGTCGCTCCGGCAAAGCGCCATCCGCACGATTGATACGGTCCGGAATTCAATTGAGAGAGGTGTAACTTTCCCTTTAGGGCCGTCTGGCTCAAACCGGATCATAGCAGACGCTTTATTGGGTCTTTGAGTCATAATACCTGGTAATACACGAAATTGGCTATTACGAGGGGGCACGATATTGAGGAACTGGTATTGACATTGGACTGAACATTGATCTGTGGTGCCGATCAGACACGTTGGTCATTTACAGTAGGCATGACCCTTTTCGTATGCAAGTAATTACAATCTGGTCCATGACAGCTCTATGCAATGGTATTTTTCAACAATAGTTAATGAATATAAATATACGGCATACGCATACGCAAAGTAAGGTTGCATTGGACGAGTATTAGGACACAATGTTAAATTTGCAGTTTTTAGATGAATACGACTGCTTGCTTATAACGTTGAAACTACAAAATCATTTATCTATTATCTATCCAATGTCGATAGTTCAGCTGATTAGAGCCAACGTTTAGATAGTCGCCTATGGGAAGAAGCGACAAAATACCTGCCCCGCTGAGTGTTGACACATCTCTTTGCCTGCAGACTATCATTGGTGACATAGAATGTTGGTAGAACATCCACGGACCCACATTCCTCCTTTTCGGACAGGGATATCTTATCATTGCGACTTTCTGTAACATTGATCTGTACATAGAAATTCGGGTTTTTGGTGTGTTCGATAAGTTCAGCGTCATCGGCGAACAGATTTCAAAACGACTGACCATCTGAGAACGTCTCCGTCCTGATGCTGGTGATATGACTCTCCAGTTACAGCGCTTTTTGCGGTCCCCCTGATCGACTGGCACATCACTCGGCTCCGGTGAGCGGTGGACAGCCGACGCTGGCCAAAAGTGGATACAAAGTGCCCCAACGATTTACTCAATGACAGCCATCTTTTGAGCTCATCATGCCAAGCCTATATTTTCATTAACTATTGAACAGCTGTGTACCACTGTACCTACATAGTTACATATATGATTACTGGGAACAATAGGTTTTTCCACAGTGTATGGTTTTTCATTCAACTTTTGATTATCAATCGCCTGTGTGACTGAATCATTTCCTTTTATCTATAGCTGTTTTCTGCTGGATGGTACCCAATCCCTATTCATGTATCTATTGCATTGGCTTGGCACACAAACCCCTGCAGTAATACTAGCCACCGATCGGCTGACTTCCCGCTCCCCATTAGCAGCTCGGCGGCCAAATGTCTGAGCCGCTAATGAGCCGATTAATTATTCCGTTTCAGGACGGGTCGATCGAGTTCCAGGAGTTCATCAAGGCGCTCAGCGTGACGTCAAGAGGGAACATGGACGAAAAACTCGAGTGTAAGCAGGGGCGGATCCAAGGGGGGGGGGTCACATGGGTCATGGCCCCCCCTTGCGGCCCGGGGGCCCAAAGACCTGCCAGGGGCACCACCGGCCTATCAGGGGTATCACAGTCCTGACAGGGGCACCACAGGACCGCCAGGGGCACCACAGGCCTAGCAGGGACACCACGGGCCTGGTGCCCCTGGGCCCTGACAGGACTGTAACACCCCTGACAAGCCTGAAGTGTCCCCGGCAGGCACGTGGTGCCCCTGACAGGCCTGAGGCGCCCCTGCAAGGCCGGTGGTGCCCCTGGCAGGCCTGTGGTGCCCTTGCTAGGCCTCTGGTGCCCCTGACAGGCTTGTAATGCCCCTGGAAGGACTGTGGTGCCCCTGGGCCCTGACAAGCCTGAGGTGCCCCTGACAGGCCAGTGGTGCCCTTGCTAGGCCTGTGGTGCCCCTGGCAGGCCTCTGGTGCCTCTGACAGGCTTGCGGTGCCCTTGGAAGGACTGTGGTGTCTCTGGGCCCTGACAAGCCTGAGGTGCCCCTGACAGGCCCGTGGTGCCCTTGTTAGGCCTGTGGTGCCCCTGGCAGGCCTCTGGTGCCCTTGCTAGGCCGCTGGTGCCCCTGGCAGGCCCCTGGTGCCCTTGCTAGGCCGCTGGTACCCCTGCGCCCGGAGAGGACTGGTGCCCCTGAAAAGTCTGAAGTGCCCCTCGGCAGGCCCGTGGTGCCCCTGACAGGCCCAAGGTGCCCCTGCGAGGCCGGTGGTGCCCTTGGCAGACCTCTGGTGCCCCTGGCAGGTCTGTGGTGCCCCTGGCAGGTCTGTGGCGCCCCTGGCAGACCTGTGTTGACTGGTGCCCCTGCTAGGTCGCTGGTGCCCCTCACAGACCTGTGGTGCCCCTGGGCCTTGACAAGCCTGAGATGCCTGGCTATGACAGGCTCGTGGTGCCCCTGATAGACCAGTGGTGCCCTTGCTAGGCCTGTAGTGCCCCTGGCAGGCCTCTGGTGCCCCTGCTACCCCTGCGCCCGGAGAGGACTATGGTGCCCCTGAAAAGCCTGAAGTGCCTCTCGACAGGCCCGTAGTGCCCCTGGGCCCTGACAGGCCCAAGTTACCCCTGCGAGGTCGGTGGTGCTCCTGGCAGGCCTCTGGTGCCCCTGGCAGGCCTGTGTTGACTGGTGCCCCTGCTAGGCCGCTGGTGCCCCTCACAGGCCTGCGGTGCCCCTGGAAGGACTGTGGTGCCCCTGCCCCTAGGGGTGCTCATGGGCCCAACAGGCCCGTTGTGCCCCTGACAGGCCTGTCGTGTATACTTGCTAGACCTGTGGTGCCCCTGCTTCCTGGCAGGCCTGTGGTGCCCCTGGCGGGCCTGTGGCGCCCCTACAAGGCCGTAGGTGCCCCTGACAGGTTTGTGGTGTCCCTGGAAGGACTTTGGTGCCCCTGATAAGCCTGAAGTGTCAAGGACAGACCCTTTAGACGCCAGGGTCAAGTTCGTCGGACTGACAACGATTTGCTTACCTGATAACGTTCCTGGTAAGTACTCACTACTCAGCGTCCACAACATATATACACATAGCACATTCATATATACTTGCTTACAATTGGTAAATGTGGTTGTGGCTAAGAGTTAAGATACTGACTAAAAATAAAAAATAAAAAGAAAAAAAAACTGAAAATGGGGGCACCACCAAAATGAAGTGGACGAAATCCGTTGAGTTTTTAATTTTGGGTATAGGTAGGGGCACCACTTCGATTCATGACCCTCCCCTTGGAGTTTTCCTGGATCCGCCCCTGAGTGTAAGATGGATAACCGCAGACTCAGAGCGCCAAACACTAGCTGATAGACGAATCAAAATTAAGTTGATGCAGAATAGATATTTACATTCAGAGCGATCCATGGGACAGACGGTGTAAAAGCATGTAACGGGCAAAAAAGCTTGACATATTAATAGGTACTTTTATCATGCCTTTGTCACGCAAAATGTCAGGAAGATTGCGAATGTTTGCATATCAAACTACATAACATGTCCATATGTACGTCCTCGCCGCTTAATCTTTTTGTCTCGGTGAAACTTCTGCATATATTTATGATTTTTTTTTTCGTACGCGCTATGAACGATATGTCATAATGTACGGTGGACGGACGTAACCTCTTTTATCTCTTACTAACCCTGACGGTTTTTTCTAATCCAGGGGCTTTCAAACTGTATGACGTCGACAACGACGGCTACATCACCCGGGAAGAGATGTACAACATCGTCGGCGCCATTTACGAAATGGTGGTAAGTTATGGGACTTGTTTCGCTGCAGATTTTGTCACCGCCGGGTGATAAAGTGCCGAAGCTGGCCGGTCTGACGGCTACTTTCCCAAAATGCGCGCCCTCCGCGATGGCTTGTTCCCTTTCGGAACTGTAATGAGTGTTATATCTGCTGGCTCTGAGCGACCAGCTGTACGAAATTGAAGCGGCCGCAGCGCGGCTTAGCTCAGGTCGTAATATGGATGAGATTAGAGGATATGGATATTAGCCCTGACACGCCCGTACTCAGTATCAGAACAGATAGTGTTGGTGGAGACTGACGCCTGAACTTTAAATTACTATAATAATTAATAAGCGCTCAACACGAACAACACGAAAGCAGTTCGGCAATCCGATATGCATCATTATCACATGAGAGGTTCAGCGCACCTTCAACTGTTTCAGCCCATTGTTTTTGTCCGAAAATAGCTAAATTTCAACCATCATTTGTTTCGCAAAAACAGCCTTTCAATAAAGCGATGGGATAAACAACAGGGCTTTATAAATCACAGAAGGAGGCAATAAATCAGAATAGAATGGCACAGCTGAATAAATCGCCATTTGTATTTGATCGCATGGCTTATTGTGAAATATTCGCCATAGGTGTATGTAGCATGCACGTTATGAATCGTTACATGTACATCTTTGTATTAATCATTGAGTCAGTGTGAAATTTAATGTTTCTAATGGGTACAAAGCATACAAAAGATCAGCTCCATGCTCTTCATTCAACATCAAGTCATCTTTTGAAGTTATTGATGCGACAACCTTTCCGCTTATTTACCAAGATTTAAGACGCTTTATTTTGATAAATACGTCCCTAGCGCACTCATAAAACAAAAGTTCGGAAAGCTCGTTTACTGTTGGACACTCAGAAACATGTCACAATATGTCCTCATCCCGGCGTCACCACACGACAAACTTTTAATATTTATTGTTGTTTATACAGCACCACTGCGCTCTTCCCGCCAATTTTGTTATAACTACATGGTGTTGACAAATAGGTCCGGCAGTGCTGCCGTCGAGCCTCCCCTCACCTTTCTTTAAGGTTAAATAACGGTATCATCTCTTCCCTTACACTCCCCTAAATGATTAACAGGTCAGTGGCAATCAGCCAAAGAAGTGACGATATCAACCCTCATCTTCCCCGCAGGGTCAGTGGCAACCACACCCTTCCCCCATAGCGTCAGTGACAAACTTCCCCTCCCCCTCCCCGGCCTCCCCATAGCGTCAGTGACAAGTATAGTCGGTCAAATATGTATCTTTCCCGGCCGGCCCACCCCACGCTGGGCAGGTCGGTAACTTGGCTGAATCCGCCGGCCGCTGCGAGTACTACGGAGGGGAGGGGACAGGTTGTGCGGTTGCCGCGTCGGCCAATGAGCGCGGACCTGGCGAGCGGGCTGGGGCCACGGCGTGTTGACCTAATATGGTCAAAGGTTCATGCCCTGCGGGTATGGTCTGCGGCCAGCTGGCCCACTGATTGAGCCACAGCACCGGGTCGCGGAAAGGTTTCGATAGGTATCTGAATTGGAGAGTGGAGACCGTTAGCTTGAACTTGAGTGTAGTCGCTCTAGGTTTGAGATGCCGTATCACTGCACCGTTTTTGAAAAGGGGAGAATTATTCAGTTGAGTGATGAGGGTAGAACGGTTGCAGAAATCGCACATCAAGTTGGCCGGTCATAAATAAATAATTGGCCGGTCGTAAATAACCGGTCATAATTCGATTAAATATTTCTCTTGCGCTAATCATCATATCACCAAGCATTCGATCGTATCAAGAGCAACCATCTTAATTTTTAGGTCAGCGACCCCTGTTGAAACACCAGATAATCCTTTGATAGCTCATAGCACTCAGTCTACAATTTACACGGCGCATGAAAGCACAGCCATCATTAGACCATCGCGCTGCCCTCACATTCGTTAGATTCCTAACGCATCCGCTTGCTCGCCTCTCCCGGCCAGACCCGCCGGAGCACCCGGCGGCGAGGCCGTCCAGTGCTGGTCTGCGGTCACTCTCCAGCCGGCCGCCGCGCTGTGTAGCTCCGCCCCCGCGCGTGACGTCACAGGGCCGCCAGAGCCGCCAGGGCAGCTGGGGTGTGGGCTCAGCCAACTATCGAATCCAGACCGTAGCGCCACTTGGCGGCCGGGAAAGATACATATTTGACCGACTATACACCCCTCCCCTTCCCACAGAGTCAGTGACAATCTACCCTCTCCTTCCTAATTTAACTGACTATATAGTCACCCCTCCCCATTCTCCCAGTGTCGGTGACAGTTACATCCCTCCCCTCCCACACAGAGTCACTGATAGTCACCCCTACCCCTCCCCATAGCGTTGGTGACAGCTCCCCCTCCCCTCCCCCAGGGTCAGCAGGTCAGCGACGATGACGAAAACAGCGCCAAGAGCCGCGTCGACAAGATCTACGAGCTGATGGACCAGAACGGCGACAACCAGCTGACCTTCGAGGAGTTCAAGGAGGGCAGCAAGACCGACCCTCGGATAGTGCAGGCGCTCAGCTTTGGGGAGACGCCCTAGCGGCACCCCCGCTTCGGGGAGGGGTCGGAACGGTGACAGTGACTCCCGGCCGACGCACAGTGGACTATAACCGGTCTGCGCAGTGGACTGTAGCCGGCTGGCGCACAGTGAACTTAAAAAGGTCAATGGTGATCAAAACTGTGACCAATCGACGGCTAACCATCATCGATGACAGCCAGCGGTGAGCAGTTGTGGTGGATGGTGGCTTGTTCAGCTGAGACTGTCGACTGTCGAGTACAGCTGGCACTGGCTGGTGACCATTGGTGACTGCTCTGTGATGCTGACAGAACTGAGGTGATGAACTGCGAGGACACCTGACCCCTGCGATGGTGATCGGTGATGACTGTCGTGTGGTCAGGCTGGCCGGGTTTGGGAGGGTGGGTCAGACCAGGTGCTCCGCTTTGAGTGACTAACTGTTGTGGGGCTCAGACGTTCGACGTTCCCCATCAAAGCCACTTCTCTGGCCGGGTGTGGACCTTCATGTCCCAGGGGAAGCAGCGCACACCGAGACTCATTCCCTAATTCAGTCCGATGAGACTCTGAGTCCAGCTTCAACCAGACCAAAGTAGCTCACTCCCAGAGAGAAATAGACGTCAGCAATTCCTCAGAATCTGCACAGCACACGGCTGCAGGCTCCCGGTCCAACGGAAATCTTACGTCGATGACCAGCTGAACCTCTTAGATACACCACACAACAGCTTCTTCTCCACGAATGCCCTGTGGCAAGAATCATCAGTCATCACCGACCCAGCTTATCCCAGCTGAATCGAGCCTGCATGACGGATCCGCCGCACACCAGGGCCACACTACACGGTCGACTGGGAGGCCACCCGGCCACCCCAGCCGACCTGCGTCATCCCCAGGGCTCCTCCGCTCCCTAGTGACCCGCTCATAGGTCGGACCGGGTGACCCTCCGGCTCGCGTCACCTACCCCGGTGAGCCGCCTGCCCTGCGCGATCGATCACACTGCTGCTGCAAGGTCCGGTGTGTGTCGACCGCCGCGGTCCCAGCGGGCTCATCCCGCCGGCTCCTCGGCTGGCCAAGTTGGACTGCGTCGCCGCCATTCAGCTCTGTATAGCTCCAATGCACATGTGCTTTGGACGGCGGCGCCCGTTTATGAGATCGCTCTGTACGTTTGGCTCCAGCGGCGCGGAGCGGGCCTCCTCGCAATGGCACCCGGCGGACGGCCGGGCCAGTCGCTTTGAACTCACTCAACTTCACAGTGCTATGTTTGTTTTCTCCGTGAATCGGTAATGCTTGCTCAGTCGTTCCACTCAGTGAATTTGAGATCAGTTTGATTTCTCTATTGCGTGCGTGTTACAAAGTTTTATTGAGCACGACTGACGACACCACTTTTCAAAGCGTAGCGTCTTCTCGCTTCTCGCTTCGGTTTTCCTTATCCTGTTATGCATCGTTTATGGAATAGATGAATTAATGATAATCTAGGTATCATCAGAACAATCTGAATCATATTGAAGTGTGTCCTCGGCAAGGCGACACCGGGAATAAGCTATTGTTGTTAGTGCTTTGTTCCATATTTTATGCTACTGCCAATCGTCAATAAAACGTCGGAAATAAAATGCGTCGAAGTTATGGGCTATTTGTCTATTCGTAATAACTGCATGTAATGTAGCGACTGACATAAATACGGTGTGGGGATCGCTAAGAAAGGCATTGTACAATGCATAGTTTGTAGCAGCCGAAAACCCGATCGGCACATAAACGTTCAGCAATTGCGGAACTCCGGTACGGTCTACTGTCTAGTCACTAACATCGAGTCTGTCGAGACGGGCATGGCTGTCGTTTTATACATGTAAAGCCTGGTTGGGCCCAAAGCCTGTCAATAACCTTGACATTTTAGCATTATCCCGTCGTCCCTCACTGGAATTGAAAAAAGAATTGGTAAGCTAACAATCAGAGCGCAACCGAATGATGTTCAGAGTCGGATATTCACTACCTCCTACCTATGCGGAAGTAGATAAGCATCTCACGTGAACGTTCTAGTCCCAATGTATTTGAATTCAACAACAGCAAAAACATTCAAAAGGGTCCATGGAAACGTTTGTTTAACGTCAAAAAGTTGCGCCGTTCAGGTAGTATGAATAAGGTGTACTTTTGTACATATGTACATGCATCAGGGCCAGTCAACGAAAGGGACCGTTGAGAAGGCATTTTGCAAACCTAGGGCTTGGGCATCGAATAAGTACTAACGGTCCATAGCTTTTTCTAGTTGAGACTATCGGTGCGTCCGCACCGCACCAGACGGTACCTATCCGCCTTGCCGTCACCCAGCAGAGGTCACCGAGCAGAGGTCACCGGGAGGAGGTCACAGAGCAGTGGTCACCGAGAGGTCACAGAGCAGTGGTCACCGGGAGGAGGTCACAGAGCAGTGGTCACCGAGCAGAGGTCAGCGGGAGGAGGTCAACGGGCTGGTATACATACCTACATCATCGACACCTGGCGACGGTCACAGTCACCGATTGTCCCGCCAGCTGATACCGGTCACGGGACGGTACCCGACGGCTCGGTTACCTGACGTCGGTCACGGCCACGTCCCGCCGACCGCCGTCTGATGGCCGGGTCGCCTGTGCGGCTCACCGCCTCCGGCTGTTTACCGTCGGACGTGTAATGACGGATCGACTCAGCGACACGTCACGCCGACACGCCACACGCCGGTCAGGCGCCGGACAACAATAGGTACGCAGTGGCTGCAGAGGTCAGTCCATAGGTCACCGCTTCCACCTTTGTACCGAGGTCACCTTACCCCTGTGCCGACTGCCGGTGTTCCACTGTGTACTATGTACCAACTATGTACTAAAGACATAGCATAATCATCGATGTCTCTCGGACGACGAAGATTCTACCTACGTCGAGTTCGGCCAATCCCGTTCAAGGTCAGCGGGGGCGCCGCTCGGCCGCGGTTATGGAACGTGATTGGCCGGACGGCGTAGAATCTTCGTCGTCCGAGAAACATCGAACGCGGGGTAAAATAAATACAAACGAATTACGAATCGTAAATGCCGAGCATGTGAGTGCCATTTTTCAAAGAAACTTTTATAGCAGTGGGTAAAAGTGGCAGCAATCTTCTGGTTGATATGGTAGCATTTATTGATTCATTCACAGCGCAAATGTTTCAAAATAGGAGAAAAGACGACAAGGAAACCTGTTCAAATATATCGATGTCAGCAGTAAACTGTTTCAACAACAAATCACAAGCCAGGAAATCATTTTATTTTTCTGCTGTTTGCTGCTTTGTCTTGTGACGGATGAAACTGAACAGGAGAAGTAGATTTCCATTCAGATGCGCACAATTGTGAGTGAGCGATTGGCAAGAGCCACACGAGATAAATGACTTGTGGCAGTAAAAATAGACCTAGCTCATATTATGACCGAAAAGAGTGACAAAAAAGTTAATGAAGAATCAAGTTTTGTGGGAAGAGTTTACCAGGTAAACTATCATCTTATCTTGATCTTGTTTTATTATGCGTTGTTGTGGTTCATTTCCCCGTGATTTATCCTGTGGCCTGTGCCCTGTCATCTATATCAATGATAAGGTTCTCTAATGAATTATAGGCAATTTGGAATAAAGCCTTTACTAATTGACTTATACATCTGAAAAAGCAAGAGGAGGGATTAGCTTGCACAAGCTTACAGCAGCATGAACACGATGGAGCAGCGGTGGAGGATTGTGCCAAGTTGGGGTTACATGGGTGCAGAAAATCTGCCGAAGCTGGGAGTGCCTTGACTTCTGTTGTCTGTTGCAGGTTTAATGATGTCAGTAGGTGGAACTATGGTCATGAGTACCCAAATATAGGAACGTTCCCATTTTTGGGAACGGAGTTCCCAAATATGGGAACGGGCGTTCCCATTTATGAGAACGGAAGGTAATTTTTCGGCCGTTCGCCCACTAAAAGTCATTAGTGCATCACGTCTCAAAAAAGTGCACGCTAATTTAAGTATCTACTAAATCTCTATTAAATTATCTTTAATCTGACCGTTGAACAAGGAAATTGACCGTCGAATGATATTTTAAATGATTTTTTGAAATGACGGAATGGTGAAAACATGGGTTACACTACATTTAACATGCAATTTTAAGGAAAATGAAGCGTTTTTTACATTTTGAGGTCAAGTATAATAATTTTCGCCTGGTTATGAAGTTTCATACTGGCAACACCAGATGCTGACATATGCAAGCGAACACGCGGACAGTCCCGAGGTAATATTGTTGACATTTGGTGTCGAGGCGGACGACCGCGTAGAACGTGCGTGATTTTACCGAACTACTGTTGTAAACTCAGTTTAAGTGGTCGAAAATTATTCAGCTGTATTTTATCAGCCCGGAAAGACATATTTTATTTGGATGCTAGCTGTTTAGCGTTGTTTTATAAGGAGCGTCATGAGCGTGGTTTTTGTCTTCCGTGTTTCTAAGCATGATCGTTTTGGGGGAATTTCTCTTATATAGGTCGCTCTGTGTGGCTTATTTATAATTTCTATGCTGATTTCGATCATTCCTCGTGCCCATCCTACCAGGCCTTTTGCCACTTACACTCATTAAGAAAGGAAAAAACTAGATTTTCATTGGGACTAGGTGTTTTGAGGGTGTGACATATTCAGCGTTCCCATTTTTGGATACTTCCTTGTACTCGTCAACTATCGGTGATAAACAGACAGGTGCTTGACATGTCTCCACCCTCGGCACGGACGGTGGATATAGGTATGGAAGACCTTGTTGAACATCGCTGAGCGTTGTGAATTACGTAATCCTGCAGAGGGGGGCGTGCCCGCTGCGAGATCGACGGGAATAAAAGCGCAGAAGACCGGGCGAAACATGCGACGGTCTTGCCGGAAAGGTCATCTGATGATTGTTGCGTTAACAATAATTTGCGGCGTTGGACGTGATGCTTGTTAATGAAAAGAGCCCCTGAAATGCGTCGGTGAAATCGTTCCCAATTATGGGTACGCCGTTCCCATAATAAGGAACGCTTGCAGCGCCAGTGTACGAGAGCGTTCCCACATTTGGGCTCGCGGCCCGGATGATGGACTGCTTTAGAAATAGGGGAACGATTTGAAACTACGATGGGCCTTACAATATCAAACTCTTTCCCAACAATTTTGCGACAAATATCAGGCGGTTCACGATCGTTTTCTATTTTTTGGACGTCATTTAACGGTTCTTTTTCTTGTTTTAAATAATGCCTACATGGCGTTCCCATATTTGGGTTTATCGTTCCCAAACATGGGAACGAAAATGCGTTCCCGAAAATGGGTACGCTTGACCATAGTTCCGCCTACTGATGTGCACATCCCATTGTGGTGCACATCCCAATGATGTGCACCAAGCAATAGTCATGAAAATGTGACTGATTTGCTTCAACCTACATGCTACTGTTTGTGCAATGGATATAATAGCCATTTACTGGTCATGGATTCAGAGTGTGGGAAGATAGAAGACTTCAAATGCCTGATTTAAGTTAAGATACATAATACCTATCAAATGATCTCAAAGCCATTTTTCTCAGCCTTTATCATAGCACCTTTGCATTAGTTACTTTTTTTTTTACTTTTGTGCCTATATTTACAGAATGATGCAGAAATATTGGACAGGGAAGCAGTGGCAGCAATCAAAGAGCAGCTGAATGAAGGAGCCAAGTATTTAATGGTATATTTAAATGTATTGCCTAACTGTTTTCATAATTAGTTCACTTATGTATCTATTCTTTGCAATCAAGCATCTATTTGATGATTCAAGGCTCAATCAATCAAGAAGAACAATCTGTTTCATTTCTTCTTTGATAGGACAGACAATCCCATTCATTCCTATCTTTATTGAGCTGTATAGGCTAAACAAATGTCTTAAAATCTTTGACACAATTGACTGGTTCACTAATGGTCAATAACTGCTATGATGGCACCAGTTTCATTGCTCTGCTGCAATAAACACCCCTTATTTGTGCTCATTTCAGCCCAATCTGTATCCGAGGGTAGAGCCTGAGGTGCTGGCAACAGTGAAACTCCTGATCTGGAGGGTGAGTTGGTGTGACTGTAGAGTAACTCATACAGCTCAGAGTGGGTGCTTAATTTCACTCAGCTGCAATACTGGGCCACGTCAGCCTACAATAATGCCTGCTGCACCTCATTTATTGCCATATCAGATGGGTACAGTTTTGGTGAGGTGATTTAGTCTGTCATGGACTGGTACAGTCTGTGGTGAACTGATGTTGTTTGTGCTGGACTGTTACAGTCTGTGATGGACTGGTAGTCTGTTGTGGACTGGTACAGTCTGTGGTGGACTTGTACAGACTGGTGGACTGGTAGTCTGTGGTGGACTGGTACAGTCTGTGGTAGACTGTTACAGTCTGTGGTGGACCGGTACAATCTGTGGTGGACTGGTACAATCTGTGGTGGACTGAGTCTGTGGTGGACTGGTACAATTTGTGGTGGACTGGTACATACTGTGGTGGACTGGTACAGTCTGTGGTAGACTGGTACAGTCTGTGGTGGACTGGTACAATCTGTGGTGGACTGGTACAATCTGTGGTGGATTGAGTCTGTGGTGGACTGGTACAATTTGTGGTGGACTGGTACAGACTGTGGTGGACTGGTACAGTCTGTGGTAGACTGTTACAGTCTGTGGTGGACCGACAGTCTGTTGTGGACTGGTACAGTCTGTGGTGGACTGATAGTCTGTGGTAGACTTGTACAGACTGTGGTGGACTGGTACAGTCTGTGGTGGACTGGTGCAGTCTGTGGTGGACTTGTACAGACTGTGGTGGACTGGTACAGTCTGTGGTGGAATGGTAGTCTGTTGTGGACTGGTACAGTCTGTGATAGACTGTTCCAGTCTGTGGTGGACTGGTACAGTCTGTGGTCTGGTACAGACTGCGGTGGACTGGTAGTCTGGTTGACTGGCACAGTCTGTAGACTGGTAGGTAGTCTGTAGTGGACTGGCACACTGTGGCACTTCCGCCGTCCTTCATGCTCGTTTTTGGTGGCGGTTCTGGCCTCCTGGCTGAACACATGCCTCTATTAGCGGCCCCGACCCGCGCTCCGTCCGTCCTACCGCCCTATGGCCGCCGCCGAAACTGAATGGCCGTCTCGGCAGTGTGATCCGTCTTAGTCTGGGTGGAAGGCGGCGGCGGCGACAGTGCCTGACGCCGCGGGCATTCAGCAGGCTATTTGGTGTGAATGTAAGAACTTTGAAAGAACACACAGAAAGGTAATTTACAATCGAAAATCGATTGTTCCTGTTACCCTCCCTTCAGCTGGTTGTATTGGTTCGTTTCGTTGTGTGTGTTATTGTGTCAATGTCCCGTGTTTTCCCTGGCCACACTGGAGTGTCACTACTCACTATGTCGTATCGGGTATCCATTGTGTGCTGTGTTCGATCCATGTCGCGCGGACTGGGCGGTAGGGGTGTCGGAACCAGTGTGTGCTCGGTTCATCAGTGTTCGTACGCTGTCGGACAGACTGCTACATTGGACGACAGTATTATCGACAAGAAGCGACATGTCATTGCCCTTACCGACACCGATAGGCCTTCACCGATATGCGGGACGACATGTAACTCCTTTCCTCATGCGTATAGTAGGTAAATGGTACACTTTACCACCCCTCCCCCTACTGTACAGTATATGTACAGTACGTATTACCACCCTCCCCTCCCTCCCCTCTGTACGGTGTATAGTATAAGTAAAGTAATCTTGGTACACACCACCACTCCTCCCCTCTACCGTACTGTCTACATTCAGGACACATTACCACCCCTCCCTCCCCTCCGTACAGCACACAGTGAACCGGAGCGGCGCGACGTACGGCCAGCGCCTGCTGGGCCTCTCGTACCTGCACCTGTCGCCGGCCCGGTCAGCGCTGTACGCCCTGCTGACCGTGGGTGCCGAGTGGCTCCGTCACAGACTGCCTGAGCTGCTCCGGCTGGCCGCCGCGCCCCGACACCTCAGTGAGAAGGTGGGAACGAGGGGTGGTGGGAGGGCGGTGGGTTTGGTGGGAAGGACGGTGGATGGTGGGAGCTGATGGGAGGGGGGGGGGGCTGATATGGGTCGGACAGTGTCCTGAGATGAAGTGAAGCATTCGCAGTTCATATGTAAAGTGTAGTGAGGGCTGAGTGTTCTTGGTTCAGGAGTAAAGTTGATTAAGCTAAGATATCTCGTTAGATATATAAGTTAATAAATCGTAGCTTGAGTGTGCAAGAGTACTAGTCAGCACCTAAAGCACGTTCCAAGCTAAAATGTTCCACCAATGACGGTACTTGGTCCACGGAGGGTGTCATCAACAAGCATTAGTGCCAAGTAGCGCCACAAACGCAGGTGTCAGTCCCTCATTTTCAGTATGTATGACCGCATTAAACCACAACGCCCTCTGCATGACAATGTCTCCGAACTGTACACGAAATTCTCGAGTTTCACCCTCCCCTTGGGCCTCGTACATGTTTAACCGGGTGGAGTCGGAAATCGGAATCCCTTCTTATCATCCAGTGTCCCTGGGGACCGGGGTTCGGTTGGACTGTCCCCCCCCCCCCCCCCCGCGACACCGCAGCGGTCCGGGCCAGACGTGTTCTGCGCTGTCGTCAAGTGCTGTCAGCCGCTGTTATTAGCTGCCGTTAGCGCCTAATGGGGTGTTCATTACAGGGGTCCTTCTCCTTTGTACACGAAACATCCGCAGTTTGTTTGTTGCACGCGGCTCGTGGGTTTTATGCCGCTCATCCAAATGTAGTTATGCGGTGGCCTCTTTGGGATGGTTGGCGGTTTACCAATGCTTGTAACTTATATGTTATGTGACGCGAGCTAGAGCGCCAGTGCCAGGCTGGGGTTCTCTGAATCCATTCAGGCACAAGTTATAGACAACGGCACGCAAGCTCCACATTAGTCCGCTCTTTCGATTGGAAATGCGCTGCGTAATGGATGCTGATATATTTTTACGATTTTATTTGCGAACACTCTGAAGACTTTTTTCCATTCCGTCTATACGAATGAGCATGCTTTATCTACTTATAGCTTCAAAGGAATTGCATTTGAAATATTGCTTTCGTTTCAACCAAATATATCGGATCTATATTGGCGGAATTGTCATTATGTATAGCGCTATGTGAAATAATGAATACGACTGCAACCGATAGGCACTGCGGGTATAATTTTCCCTGGTGTCACAACATTTGTGGAGGTTGTGCGGTATGATACCGGAGCGTACGACAACTCTCTCGCCCTGAATATTTGATACCAATGTTCGTCGTTTTGCCGCAGGTCCTGCAGTTTGCTGATCGCGCGGAGCTGCTGCTGCGCGTGACGTCCCTGCTCAACACGCTGCAGTTTCTGCGGCAGGGCGCCTTCCTGACGCTCACCGAGAGGCTGCTGCGCTTGCGGAAGCGCCGCGCGGCGTCTGACGTGGTCTCCGAGACCAACTACACGTACCTGACGCGGGAGCACCTGTGGCGCGGACTCTCGGTGGGTGGGGACGCGGGAGCACCTGTGGCGCGGACTCTCGGTGGGTGGGGACGCGGGAGCACCTGTGGCGCGGACTCTCGGTGGGTGGCAGGAGGCCGGGCTGTGGTACCTGACGCGGGAGCACCTGTGGCGCGGACTCTCGGTGGGTGGCAGGAGGCCGGGCTGTGGTACCTGACGCGGGAGCGCCTGTGGCGCGGACTCTCGGTGGGTGGGGGGAGGCCGCGCCGTGGTACCTGAAGCGGGAGCACCTGTGGCGCGGACTCTCGGTGGGTGGGGGGAGGCCGCGCCGTGGTACCTGACGCGGGAGCACCTGTGGCACGGACTCTCGGTGGGTGGGGGAGGCCGCACCGTGGTACCTGACGCGGGAGCACCTGTGGCGCGGACTCTCGGTGGGTGGGGGGAGGCCGCACCGTGGTACCTGACGCGGGAGCACCTGTGGCGCGGACTCTCGGTGGGTGGGGGGAGGCTGCGCCGTGGTACCTGACGCGGGAGCACCTGTGGCGCGGACTCTCGGTGGGTGGGGGGAGGCCGCACCGTGGTACCTGACGCGGGAGCACCTGTGGCGCGGACTCTCGGTGGGTGGGGGAGGCTGCGCCGTGGTACCTGACGCGGGAGCACCTGTGGCGCGGACTCTCGGTGGGTGGGGGGAGGCTGCGCCGTGGTACCTGACGCGGGAGCACCTGTGGCGCGGACTCTCGGTGGGTGGGGGGAGGCCGCGCCGTGGTACCTGACGCGGGAGCACCTGTGGCGCGGACTCTCGGTGGGTGGGGGGAGGCCGGGCCGTGGTACCTGACGCGGGAGCACCTGTGGCGCGGACTCTCGGTGGGTGGGGGGAGGCCGGGCCGTGGTACCTGACGCGGGAGCACCTGTGGCGCGGACTCTCGGTGGGTGGGGGGAGGCCGCGCCGTGGTACCTGACGCGGGAGCACCTGTGGCGCGGACTCTCGGTGGGTGGGGGGAGGCCGGGCCGTGGTACCTGACGCGGGAGCACCTGTGGCGCGGACTCTCGGTGGGTGGGGGGAGGCCGGGCCGTGGTACCTGACGCGGGAGCACCTGTGGCGCGGACTCTCGGTGGGTGGGGGGAGGCCGCACCGTGGTACCTGACGCGGGAGCACCTGTGGCGCGGACTCTCGGTGGGTGGGGGGAGGCCGGGCCGTGGTACCTGACGCGGGAGCACCTGTGGCGCGGACTCTCGGTGGGTGGGGGGAGGCCGGGCCGTGGTACCTGACGCGGGAGCACCTGTGGCGCGGACTCTCGGTGGGTGGGGGGAGGCCGGGCCGTGGTACCTGACGCGGGAGCACCTGTGGCGCGGACTCTCGGTGGGTGGGGGGAGGCCGGGCCGTGGTACCTGACGCGGGAGCACCTGTGGCGCGGACTCTCGGTGGGTGGGGGGAGGCCGGGCCGTGGTACCTGACGCGGGAGCACCTGTGGCGCGGACTCTCGGTGGGTGGGGGGAGGCCGGGCCGTGGTACCTGACGCGGGAGCACCTGTGGCGCGGACTCTCGGTGGGTGGGAGGAGGCCGGGCCGTGGTACCTGACGCGGGAGCACCTGTGGCGCGGACTCTCGGTGGGTGGGGGGAGGCCGCACCGTGGTACCTGACGCGGGAGCACCTGTGGCGCGGACTCTCGGTGGGTGGGAGGAGGCCGGGCCGTGGTACCTGACGCGGGAGCACCTGTGGCGCGGACTCTCGGTGGGTGGGGGGAGGCCGGGCCGTGGTACCTGACGCGGGAGCACCTGTGGCGCGGACTCTCGGTGGGTGGGGGGAGGCCGGGCCGTGGTACCTGACGCGGGAGCACCTGTGGCGCGGACTCTCGGTGGGTGGGGGAGGCCGGGCCGTGGTACCTGACGCGGGAGCACCTGTGGCGCGGACTCTCGGTGGGTGGGAGGAGGCCGGGCTGTGGCTGCGGCCTGTGGGGAGACGAGGGGTTCTCCGATAAGGTTGAGCGGTGATAAGTTTTGTCTGAAAGTGGTAGTACAACCTTTTTTTCTTCTCTAAATTACTTGATAACTGACATTATTGGGGTCAACAGACAGTTTTTGCATATTGCTGTGAGAATACTTTGAATAGAGCAAGTGCTTTGGTCAACATGCAAACACTGGCCGTGTCAATTTCAGTGACCATATACCACCTAGCCGCTCAGTTCCCTGTTGCCTATTCACCCACCATCTCTCACCACAGTCCACCCATGAGCAGTGCGCGGCGTGGGGTGTGCACCCCTTCCCTCCCCTCCCCTATTTGTGGGCACCCGTCCCTCCATCCCACCCTGTTTGTTTGCGGACTGGTCAGCGTTTCCATACCCCAGCCGTCTATTCTGAATACCGCCTGAATTATACAGCAGTCTTCAGTGGCGGCCGTGCAGCCCACACCAGGTGCGCCGCTCATTAAGGCGACTATTATGGCGCGCCGCAGACGATTGGCGCGCCGGTGTGGCGCGCCGCAGACAATTGGCGGTATTATGGCGCGACAGAGACCCGCCGGCCAGACGGCGACTGTCCGCCCCCGCCTACTTCGGGTCAGCAACTGTCTGCGAGGGAGAGTTGTATGCGGGTAGTTATTGCAGCAACTTTCTGCGAGCGAGAGAGTTATATGCGTGGGAAATGGGCTGTGGATGACTGACAGCGCAAGACGTGCAGCAGTTGCTCCCGAGTAGTCGGTGCCGATAAAATCAACTGAACGTTGGTACCGATCGATTTGATCGAAGCGATATATTGCTGGGCTGCCGAAGAGATAGTGTGTCAACTGCCCGTCACTCAGTGCGGCGGGTTAGTCACGGAACCAGTAGCCGTTAGAAACATATAATGAGTTTTCTTATTTAGCCACGGCTCGTATTTGCATGTTTTAGATGAATAGGTCGGTATTGTTTACTTATTGACACCACCGCCTATCCCTTCCAACACGGGCTGAATCTAGCAGCGCGGAAGCTTTAACCAATCCTCCCTTCCCTCGTTTTCCCCTTGGGACGCCGTGTATTCAGGCAATCCACCTCCTGTTTCTAACAATACCCCAGCGCCTTGACCCCAGCCCTCTCTATGACTCGGTTCTTTCCTCACCTTTCTGAACCGTTTCCCGGTCCGCCCCGATGCGAGCCTGGCGTGTCGGCTCGTCGTTTGGATCGGATCGCGCGTCGGAGCGCTGTATCGGTGCTGATTGCTCCGTGTCGGGGTGTGGTGCCGCCTGGTCGGGTCGGTAAACGGTGAGCGGGCGCAGACGGCGGCAGGTCGATACCGCAGCACCGGGTCAGGGGGCTGGTTGGACCGCGGACAGGTCACGATCTCTGGAGTGGTCATTTTGAACTATGTTGGAGGAGGAATCGACCTTCAACACTCCTCGGAGTGACTCCTCTTCTGGGCTAGGGATCGCAAAGGTCAGAGTCAGCGTCAAATATCAATCGTTGAATCCTGAGTGGATCGAAGTCCGATAACGGGAGGAAAAGGATTCTGAACAGGTCAATGTCAAGAGCATAGGATCAATGACTCCCTAGCGAGCCCGTATCTAGGTCAAAGAATGGATAGAAGCATCCAGCATCTGACCGTCAATCCGGTATCCGACCGTAAGCTGGGTCTGACACAGTCGCAGTAGTGTGGCACGCTTTACCTACGGGCCTCGTGAACAGGACCGTGGAAAGGATTGGTCCCGGCTGTCCTGCGGAGATTACGCTGGCTTATTTGCAACGGCTTTTTGCGCACTTACGAAACTATTAAGTAGTCTCAGTCGGTATCACAAAGGTGTACAGGGTGTCCCATAAGTTTGTTTTCACATTATATTTGCATGTAAAGCAGAGTACATTGCGTTTTGATATATTTATGACACGTCAATGTGCTCCTCATTTCAAGGGCAAACACATGAACGCATGCTGCAGCATGCCAACCGGCCTGTTTGGCAGCGTAGCAGGCTTGAAGTTAGCCCAGACTGACTTGACATTCGCCGTGAGCTCTTGGAGGCTGAAACGGCGCTTCACTTCGACGAGCCACGATTTCAGTATCCCCAACGTATTTTCATGAAATTTTGGATTCCATGAGCTGCCTGACATGTGATCTTGCGACCGATGCCTGTCACACTCTCCTGGCACCACTTTTGAGCTTTCCTTGACCTATTCACCGATGCAGTGTCTCGCCTGAAGATGGGCCTGCGACCTCCCGGATACCATTTTCTCCTCCAAAAATGTGTTCATATTTGCGGTTTGAGTTAAGGTAGAACGCTGATATTTCTTCCAGATCTTCTTGGAGAAGAATTATACGTCCCAAAAATGTTTCTGGAGTACCAACCGCATCCTGGTCAGTGTCTGGACGCCTAAAACCCTACAATACCGTGACCCTGACCTTTTGCATATGAATAAAGCGGGATAACACGAAAGCCTTTTCCGTCGCCCATATGGGCCCGTTTTGGGGTTTGGACGGGTGTTTTATCTCGAAAACGGACTAGGCAGTCCAGATGACCACATTGATGTCATCGGCCCTCCAGATTTTTTGGCCTCAGGCATAACGAAACACATGCATGGCCATTTTAACACATTTTCGACTATTTTGAGTCCTCCGGTAAGTCTTAAGCTTAAGTCACCTTGAGTTATGTACGCCAAAAATATTCTTAGACAGCTGATAATTCATCCTGAAAAGCCAGCTTATCAACTTCTAAATATTTTGACCTTTTTGATGGCCACTTTGATATCAGACAGTTTTGGCCACATGGCTCACTCCTGAGGGCTGGCTGTAAAGAGGACAAACTTAGAGTGATTGACTCCCGACAAATCATCGGTGTCACTTGCTGACTGTGCGTACAGTTAGCGACAGACATTGGCTACAGACTGATTGGCTTCAATCACCTTCAATCGTCGCGAATGGTCACGTGCTGACTAAATACCGAGACGCACCCGTATCGGAGACCTCTATTCTGTGGCGTTAGCCGTCTCTATAGGAAGTGGACTCTCTAGCAAAAATTATTCTGTCTAGAGAAATTAGTTACTGTGGAGCATATTGCTACCAGTCATGGCAACCACATAAGCTCAGTTACGAACCAAGTTCAGCCTGCCATTAGGCAAGAGAGCCTCTTAACGTAAAATTTAGGTGAGAACGAACTTATGAGACACCCTGTAGACTGTTACCAACTAGCAGTTGAACGGTTTCCGGATAGTGCCGCTGCCTCCACCCTGGTGGACAGAGCATCAAATACTCATTGAAAACGGCACTGTGTACCTATGTCTCTGAGAGACTCAGTCCAGCCAAGCCGAGCCGAGCTGTAGTTTACTGAGCCTTACACCCACGTGACGCCCTGCCCGGCCCAGTTGGCTCAGCGGCAATATCACACCCCTGTGCAATCCGGGGAATGTCTGGGCGGATCTGTACATGGCTGGCCCGGTGATGGATGGCGCCGCTCTGCGGCCGGGCAGTTCTGAGTCGGTGTGGTGCCCGAGATATCCGGCCGTATCCGAGCTGCCGTAACGTCCGGGATCGGGCGCCGGTGGCAGGGGTACTTCCTGGTTCAATGTGTGAACTGTGGTAGGAAGTTGTTTAAAATCTCAGACATAGCACGTCTGTCTTGATAGGCTTGTAATTTCAGCTGATCGTGGTCTAGCTGTGAAATTAATGTGGATTGATTGAACTGGAGATACCAATATTTCCTTCCTTGCCAGGAACCTGGTAGGTACAGGGCGATCAGTGAAAAGTTGCATAAAGTTAGCCCCCAGGAGAAGCATTTAATATATATCTTAACACATAAACAGCACACCATTAGAAAGAGATCCTGGATAACCCTGTAGTTTCTGCTGGTGTTTGACCAGCGCCTATCGACAGTTGGTCTCGTGGTCAGATCCCCGCGCCGACTCATCTGATATTTCTTCACTTCAGCAGCTGCTAATTCGCCCTTCACTCTTCACAATCGACTTTGTGCGAATGCCATCCATGATCGTCACAATTATTCAATGGCCAGCACAGTGCTTTCTCAGTGCTACTTGCATTCTTTCGCTGCCGTTGCATTCATCCCCAAAGTGCTGCTGTTTCATCCCCTCTTTTTTCAGTTGTTGCCTACATCTCTGCTTCCCACAAGAGACGTCGACACGCTCCTCTCTCCTCCCATTGACAATTCCCTGTCCCTCAGCTGCAGCTTCTGACGTCCCCTCCATCACTCCTCAGGAGCTGCTGATGTGCGTGCTGCCGCTGATCGACTTCCGGCAGCTGCGTGGGCAGCTTCTGCGGCTGCTGCCGGCCAGCTCCGACCCGTCCGCGGTCCCCCGGCCGCCGCCCTTCACTGCCGAGACGCGCTGTGTGTGGTGCGGCGAGCCGCCCGTGCTACCTCACCTGCTGCAGTGCTGCCACCTAGCCTGCTACTACTGCCACCTGGCGGCAGCTGCCGGAGACGCGGTCCGGTGTGCCGAGTGCGGCCGCGAGTCGGACCGGAGAGAGGTGCGACCGGCGCCCGTGGTTCGCGCCGTGAACAGCTAGCTGTTGGACTATATTATTGGTAATGGTGTAGTCAATGGGTGCAATGTCCTATTCCATATTGTTATTACGATGAATGAGGACCGGATCAGTTATTTTTGTTTCACGTTTTGCCGTGTGCGTGGTCAGAGCTTAACGAGCAGCGTGATTGGTAGTGATGTTCGTACAAATCTTATTGTGAGAGTTAAAATAGCACAATGCTTGAATGTTGTTGCCTTGTACGAGCAATATGAAGGGACATTCCATTGTCGGCCTATTATGAATAGTGCTGTCTTAACACCTCGCTTTCCCATGTCGGCGCCGTTTTCATGGACCATCGATGGGCTTAGACACTGAAACTAAGGTAATTCTACGTGTTCCTGTACAGGGCCCTTTGGCTTGCATTTGTAAATTCGCGTAGTTCTCAACGGTGTCGGGCTGCCGTCTTTTGAATTCACAAGATGAGTAGCTTATGCTATTGCCTAGAAATACTAAGTACCTTCTCATCGATTATTATTTCGACCGTTTGATTAGTGCGCAGGATTAAGATCTTGTAGGTGATTCGTTGTGCCTTTAATTACGTGATAATGTAATCCGTGCGATCCGTGATGCTCTTTTACACGAATGTGTCCGTGACGCTGCCTCCCAGAGGCCCCTGAATAAGCCACGTCTCAGGTTGTCCTCTCAGTGTACTAAGGTGGCGCCATTGCGGCTTTTGCGGCTGGCTTGAACCGGTGGTGCAAAGTCAGCCAGAGTTCGGACATGTGTTGCAATATGTCACGCCATGCAATAATTAACACTTCGTTTATCGATTTTTTTTTTTAAAGGTTTGTGTGATTCATTGTTCACTCTGTTCACCTTAAACCTGACAGTGCCAAAAGATCCTACCTGTCTTCGTTCCATGATCTCTTAATTTCCTGATACCATGAAAATCAAATTCCGCGCTCGAGCCAAACGCACCAAAAGTAAAGACGCTAATTTATTAGTCCAGCAGGAATGATTGGTCATCCTCGGGTGATGTACATTGTGACGCCGTTCGCCAGTATCCGTTCACACCACACGGACCCGGGACACACGCACACCGCACGAGCCGCGCGCTGTCCGCTGTGTAAAACCCCACCCTGTGACCTGCCGGGAGCTGCCCGACCCTGCCCTGCAGCCCCTCTGGTTGGACTCGTACGTCGGGCGGCGGGCGGCGGGGAGCTCGACGCGCTCACAACAGCACACGCACGCCTGCACGCTCGCACGCACGCACGCTTGTCCACATATACGAGTATTCACCTGTTCACACACGCAGGTTGCAAGGGCCGCCAAACACGTTAGCGCCTGTCACCCACATTGAACACAATCTCGATACCCTGACAGTCCTAGATCTTCCCTGGAGTGCACACAATCATACCCATGTACGCACGCACCATCCACATTCGTGACTCCATCGGTGCCGAGCGAGCACGGACCCAGCGGAGAACAGGTGAACACAAGGCCATCACGAGCCCGGCGAAATAAATCACTCCCAGGACTCGCAGGACAGACAGCCAGAGCTGGATTCTCAGACGATCGGGACCCGCGAGGAATCAACAACCAGACGAGCGCCCGTAGGGGAAGACGCAGCGGGGAAGGGACAGTCTCGGCGACTGGCATCACGACAGCGAGAAACGATTGTGACAACACGCTCTGAAGCTCGGGGTGGTGGGCCAGGCACCCATTGATATAACATTGAGCACATCCATACAACAGTGGCCCGAATCTCTGCCAGGGCACCGGCCACCGGTCACAGTGAGTTCGGGTCCCGCCGCGCCCTGCCGGTGGCCCCAGTTCAGAGTTCCTCCCCGCCGCCGCCGCCGCCGCCGGCACGGTCAGCCTGATATGGCAACACGGCCACCGTCTCCGATATGGCACGCCGCGTGATACACACCTCCCAGACTCAATACGGTGGGTGTCTAACGGTGCCAAAAACGGCACCAAACAAATCAAAATACCATGCGCAGCACAGTAACCCTTCCCATCATCAACACAATCAGTAGCCCCATAAAATCAGAACAATATAAGATCCCTCTGCCCGGCGCACAGAGCAGTAAACAGAGTAAAAACACGGCCCGACGAGGGGTGGCTCCATTACACCGAACGACTCCCTAGAGGTGGCGGATTTCGCACCCGGCTGGCGTCTGATGACAGTCCGTCACTGACGGGCACAGCACCAAATAATCTGGCCACTCTGGGATCGGACTGCCAGGAATATTGCATAGTTCCGTGTCAAAAGTCACCAGATTTTCCGCACGCTAACCCAAGCTTCAGATAAAAGACGCTACGCGGTTCACCGTTTGTAACAAACGCTTCGGGATTTAGGTACCTCAGCTTTGAGCCGAGGGCCAAATCGCAAGCATGGCCAGTGACACCGAAAAATACTACAATTTTCCTGAAACTTCCAAAAACGCGAATTCATGTCACAGGAAACAGATCGGAGCACCGACGCTTAGCATCGGAATCACTCATAAATTTCTCAAAATAAATATGCATCATACTCTGGTTTGCACCACGATCATTCCATGCCTTATGCAGTATACCTGCACTCGACCGTCCATCATCCATTCCCCCTACTCCCAGCTTGAGTGGCATCTGGACCCATCCTTCCCGTCCAGACGCTACCTGAGTTGACGACCCGGCCCCAGGCCCCAGGCCCAGGTCGCCAGGGGGCCGCCCATTCAGCTCCCGCAGTAACAGTAGTCTGACCTAGCCTCGACACAGGTGGTGACCGCACGAGTACCGTCCGTCCACAATCACAGTGACCCGCCCTCTACCAGGGCGCCGACATAGTCCCATCACATCGGCGACCTAGCCTCTGCCAGGGCGCTGAGTTAGCCGCCGCCGAGGCCCTTGACGAGTTCTAGTCGACTGTAGCCTGTATCAGAGGCCTTTGACCAAGTGTGTAGGCCATAACCTATGCCAGGGCGCAGGTGTAGCCTTTGCCAGGATTGTTGACCAGCTCCAGCCTACTGCAGCCTCTGTCAGGGGTTATTGACCAGCTCCAGCCCACTGTAGCCTCTGCCAGGGACCGCTGATCACCCCCAGCCTACTGTAGCCTCTGTCAGGGGTTGTTGACCAGTTCCAGCCGGCTGTAGCGCTTCCTCCAGACGGCCACCGAGTCTCTGTAGAGGACCGGGTCGAGTCGGGCCGACGACCGCAGCAGCGGCATGTAGCCAAACACAGCGGCGAAGGTGTTGAGACACGAGTGGCGCTGCATAAAGTGCTCCTGGTCACTCCACGGCGGCCTGCAAGGGGGAGGGGGAGTCAGTCGCGGGGTCCCGGGATACAGCAGAGTGGGGGGGGGGATGTATGGAATACACAGGGCAGAGTGACGCATACCCGACCGTGAAATATTGCGGCTTTGGGTCCGAGAGCTCAGTTTTGTGGTGATATACTTGTTCAGGTCAAGGTGTATATTTTGATTCATGTGCTTTTAAACTCGACCACATTTCTATTTTCAAGTCCGAGAATTTCATTTTACAGCCCCAGAAACCCTTCGGACATAGTATTTCAACTCTCCTGTGCAAAACATAGGCCCACATCTATTCAAAGAGCTTAAACGATAGCCACAAATCAGCCGTTTTCTGGACAAACACGGCGCTGAACGTTGGCCCGAGTCTCCCCGGGATTATCAGACCGGTCCCAGTGCCAGGAAACGTCCGAGGTAGATCCCAGGGGACTGGGCAGCGGTACAAACCCACCCCGACCCCGCTCGATAACACAGCACCAGCGGAAACTAACAGGATTGAACGGAACACGGCATACGGCATTTTGGTTTGCATGATGTCGCAGTTTTAAACGAGTTACCTATGGTGACCGATAAGTAACGTTCCGCAAATGACGTCACGGTACTCGTACTACAGCACCGACGTCCCCACTAGCGCAGACCCGGTCACTATGGCGACTGAAACCATTAATCGGCCGGCTAGTATCCGTTAGTATTGTTGCGGTACAAGACACCTGACAACTAACGGTTATCAGTATGGGCCGCTGCGAAACACTCGGGGTGACGCGGCGCAGACCACTGACGTCATAGTGACGTCACTGGCTCACCTCATCAGGCCGCCGGCCGTCTCCTTGTAGGTCTTCCTCTGCGTCACCTTGATCGGCGGCCGTCGGGTGGCGTGGCTGACGATAAAGTTCATCAGAATGTCCTGTGAAACGGAAAGACACGTGCGAGTCAATGCCTGGTTATGCTCGACTTCGGGAGGGACATGATGGCATGACGCGAGTTGGCACTTTGACTTTGTGAGAAGTGCTAACCCGCGCCCTGGTGGGGTCTGTTTATAACGCGACCTGGTGGGGGGGGGGGGGGCTATTTTTTGCCCCCCCTCGTATCTCCGAAACTACTGGACGGATCCGCAAAATTCAAACGGCATTCGAAAGGCCTGTCAAATTTGTCGAAGGAAACCAAATTTCATTGACCTCGGGGTCACCGATGACGTCACAGGTCAGGTCAAAGATGAAATGTTTCACCGTTCACGGGTCTTCTAGGGAATGCGCTATAACACCGAGGAAAACGCATTTTGTCGAGAATCAGCGATAGGGCGTCAGTTGCCTAGTAGATATGTTGCTATTAGAGGTCACTGACAATACCAGGTCACGTCACAGGTCAGGTCACCAAGGGTCACAGGTCAGGTCACATGAGCCCAACTTTACTAAGGTTGTGTGATGCATGTTTTATGGCAAATTTTTCATTTCCAACTCAATGGTGTTGGTTATAAGACTATCAGGTACGGCTAAGGTCACTTTCTGGTGAAGTTCAGGTCAAGGTCAGGTCAAGGTCAGGCCAAAAAAGGTCAAATTTTAAAGTTGATAGTTTTGCATAAAATGGGTATTGATTCGATGCAGCTCGTCACGGGGAGTCTAATGGTGGTCTTTGTTTTGCGCTACGGGGTCTAGAATTGCTAAAAATTGAGTTTGAAAATTTGACGTCATCAATTTTGAACAGTTTTTTCACTATAACTTCGCCAAAAAAAGAGGTATCAATCTCAAATTTGGTATGTGGATGGAAGGCGGTAAGGACTATCACATATATTCCGGTTTTTGCGAAATTCAAAAAACTTTTTGGATTTTTCGATCATTATATCAAAAAAATTTATTTTTTGATTTTTGGGGGTCAAAATCCAAAAATTTCAAAAATCCGAGATAGCAGTTTTGTAGCCCTGTCAATTCTACAGCTTTTATGTCCTTATCATTTTTCTGTATTTGCAAAGCTATAGGCCTGACAGCTCTTCCCGCGAAACCCTTTTTTGGGTCGAAAACGGCAGAACATGACGTCACTCTGACGTCATTTCCGGCCAACCTATCATAGCCTTTGGAAAAAATTTTTGGTCACCATGTGTAAAATTGATGTCCGGGAGGGTACTGAAAGTTTGGTGACGATCGGCGCAGCGGTTCTGGAGATATATCGAAAAGTCTGGAGGGGGGGGCAAAAAATAGCCCCCCCCCCACCAGGTCGCGGGCTAAAGTGAAGTCGCTCTCCCACATGATCTTGGTAGTACCCACGTTAAGTCAGGTCGAATGGAGAGGAACGTATGCACTGACATGGGAAGCACTGGCTCGAGACGTTCTGGGGGCGGGCCAATTTCAATATCCGTTGAACGAAATACCCAGCGAAAGGTCCCAGCAACTACTTTGCTCTGGAAGCCGACACTCGGTCTTGTTTTTATTTCACCGTCGCTGGTGGGCGCCTTTTACCACAGCATTAGCGCGGTTCCGGTAATAATTTCCGTTGCCCTCTTACACTAGCTCTTTGAGCAGCCTGCAGTAAAGCCGATCGTCACAC